TTTCACAGTCAAAAAATAAATAAAAGCAATTTCAGAAAAATAAAAAAACAAACCCAGGATGTGCTCAAATGTCATAAAGTGGTGTTACATGAGAAAGCACGACCCTTTTTACCTCTGCAGGATGTAATCAGGAAAGGTTTTATCAATGCCAATCAAACTCAGACAAAACCCCATCAATTTGTACTGATGAGCAATTGTTTATTTATATGGCATCCCTTGCTCCTAAATCAGCAGAAGGAATTTATATATCGCCTCGAGTACACAATGCAAATCTTTGCTTTTCTGCTGTCCCTTCCATGTCGAGCACCACACCAACAGAAGAGTAATCATAAGAAGTGCCACTAATAGGGGTTTGTGTCCGGAGAATATAGGCTCCTGTTCCCTGGCCTTCTCCTCACTAAATAGCCTGAGGGTAATGATTCGGTTACATACATTAAGTACTTTCCCGCAAAAGAATCACTTTAAATAGACTTGTTCCCAGCACTGACCTTAGCTTCATGGGGGCTCTGACAGGTGAGGAGCACCAGGAAGATGCTGTTGGACAAGCGCAGGCTGTTTATGAAACCAACTTTGCAACCCCCTTTCCCAGCACTGCCATTTGCAAGGGCTGCCCTCGAGGAAGGTTACGGCAGAACAAAAACCAAGATGGTTTTGAATAGAAAAGAAAGTTTATATTTTATTTATTTCAGATAAGCCCTAATGGATGGACTTGCAAGGAGCAGATTTGCAACTGGCCTAAGCAATGGCAATCTTAGACTAAGGCCACTGAATTTGTGAGAAATAAGATTTCATAAAGAATTTCAATTTTGAATTTTTTTATATGTGGTATTAAGTGTCCATCAGAGGTTAGCTTTCTGTTTTTTTCCAGAGGTAATGTAAGCCCAGAGTTAAGATGCTGATGGATTTTGCTGTGTTGTTAGAAAGGGAATTTCAGGTTCCATCAGGAAGAGAAGTCAAGTGAAATAAACCTCAAAACTGGGCCTAGAACTCTTGGTCCTGCTACTTTAACTCTTCTGTTCAATGGCAAAACTCACATTGATTTTAGTGGGGTAAAAACCATTCCTTAGTTTGGTATATAGGATGTGGGGATGCTTGTGATCCCCTCTGGGACCTATGAAAACTGGCTCCATCAGCTCGTCATTGGGCTAGGCCTGAGGAGTTACTGACATCTTGCAGCTGAATAAAGCTATTTAAATTCAGCTCATTAAAAGCAGGTTGTCAGGGTATGTTTCCATTAGGACGAGCAAGTGCTGTTACCCAGAGTCAGCAGTCGCAAGTTAAAATGGAAGGGGTTTGTAGAGCTGACACAGACGGCTGTGCAGTGCTTCTGAGAGACGTGTTGTGCTGTTATTGAAGATCACACAGGAAACAGTAAACATTTTATGTTTTTATCTATCTTTCGAATTGAGCCCAGGCCTTCATGGACTGAAAAGTAGGAAGACACTGTGCCATCAAAGATGCTTACTAACATTTACTACTTGTTTTAGAAAGCGCTCCGAGACATTCCCAAGGAACAGAGACTAGCGTTGCCTGTGGGAAGTACGAGTTTCTGCAGGAAATGTATTTTTTTTTTCTGCACCAGAAAAACATATCGAACATATTGAACATATTCAAATGCTTTGTGGGGAGTTTTTGCTTGGTTTTTTTGGTGGGACAGTCACAAAACCTAAGATAAAAATACGAATTTTAAGATGTGTTTCTTGTTAAAAGGGCCTGGTCACTGGTGGGCTGAAGGCCTGGTAATCTTTATGTTGTCAGAGGGACTCCTTGCAAAAACCAGTGACAATTTAGAGGAACCGGCTACAGTTTCAAGGGAGGGGTTGCGTTCTGCAACTCGATCTTGCATAAGAATTGCTATAATGAACACAGTCCTGAGTAAACTGCCTTCCACTGAATCAAATCATTGTGTCCCAGCACACCTATAGACCTTGTGGACACTTAGCATTTTGGATTAGGAGTTTTATAAATCTCTGATGATGCTAAGTTGTCACAGTTCACAGATTTCACTGCATCTGCACTGCTGGTATTGGTGGTCCTTTTGATCCACTGTGGGAAAAGGGTAAAAAAATAACAGAAATTGAGAAACAGTCAAAGGCCAGCCAAGGAGAAAAGCTGCCACAGAGACTGGTGGATGATTCACCGTTTTCAAATCTTCCTACCCCTGTCACAAGCATTCTGTTTCTTGAAAGAAAGTGAAATCATTGCTATGAAAAAAAAAAAAAATTGTTTCAAGAAGGAAACAAATGTTTGGAGAGCTGACTTGGCTGGAATTTTCCCTGCACGTACACTCTTGACATACCAGTGCTTAAACTTTCTATGCGTGCATGAGGGGGGACAGGGAACAATCAAATTTAGTGAAGATGCCCCAATCTGTTCCGTTATTTGAGGGTGTAAAGATGCTCTTTAGCTCTCATAGTCCTTGCTATTTCGGTTGCCAGGTGGTATCCCTGCCCAGATTTCACATCGAAAACAGCTGTGAAGATTTTTTTTCCCAGCACATGTGGGAGGAGGGATCCCAGTAGTCCCATCCTTTTTGCAGAAGGCAAATATGTGATATAGCCAGCTCTTAATTTAAGGGTTCCTGACATTAGGTCTTGGGGAACTTTTTCCTTTATTTATGAAATAAATACAGGTCAACCCCATGAACCCGTACCAGATGTAGTACTCAGTCCCCACTTGCAGAGCACAAAATGCTTCACTCAAGCCCCCTGCCTTCCTCCTATTCTCAGTGCTCCCTGGAGCACTCAAAAAAATCCTCACCAAAAATCATCTGACAGGGTCACTATCTAGATGCAAGAGAGGGCAATAAAGTGTGCTGTGCCCCAGCCGTGTGTCTGCAGTGCATTTATTATCTCTGACACCAGAATATCTGCATACCTCACCATCCTGGAGGCACTGAGTTTCACACACACCACTGCTGGACAGCAAGGCACTATGGCCCAACTTACACATGGGAAGCCACGGCCCAGAGGGGCTCAGTGACTTGCTCAAGATCACGCAGGGGGTCAGAACTGAGGTGAATCCCCCGTCATGTCTGCGCTGGAGCAAAACACAGAGGCCGCTTCACACATCAGTTTGAGCAGGTACATCCATTGGATGCAGTGGAGTAATGGATGGAAGATGAGAAGGCAGGATTTAAACAGACGTTGTCCTAGTACCCAGAGCCTAGAGCTGTTAGGCACAGCGTTGCACTGAGGCCATTTTACAAGTTCTAATTCCTGAGCAAATTGTCACAAGTCACTTGGGTGCATCTGCACTGAGCTTCATTGTGTGGTGAAATGGTCACCTGCTCTCTCTCCCCAGCCCAAGCTAGTATCTTAATTTATGGGTTGTCCTCCCTCTGAACCAGCCTTACTCAAATGATCCCATGCCAACACACACCGAAGACCTTGCAGATCAGTAGCATTTTGGATTAAGATTATTATGAACCTCTGATGATGCTAATTTATCACTGTTCACACGCATGTTGTTTTTCTGTCTTCCCCACTGCAGATCTGCGCAGGATGACAGCTGGCTTCATGGGCATGGCTGTGGCCATCATCCTCTTTGGATGGATTATCGGGGTGCTGGGGTGCTGTTGGGATCGAGGCCTTATGCAGTATGTGGCGGGGCTTCTCTTCCTCATGGGAGGTAAGGATGCTGGTGTTTGAAGAAATGTGTTTTCCTTGTTGTTTTCATGTTCCTTCTTTCCACACGTCCCTCATTTTCTAAGTCACTGAAAACATGTTTTCAGAGTTGTTTTAGATGCTCTGGACTTGGTTTCATTCCGAGTTCCTTCTGGTGTACATCAAGGATAACCCAACCGTAGTTACATGTTACTTCTATCACAAAATAGTGTCCGTAAGTCTCAGGACTGGAAATGGCCTTCTGAGTTGTTTAGTCCGGTGCTCTATTGTTGCAAGTAACACTGTCACCCTTAAACTTAATAAGCTTAATAAACTTAGTAATAAAAATCTGAAGATAATGCAGATATTAGTCCTACCACTATCCTATTTCATAGTGGGACTCTTTGGTAACTAGAAACTGTGCTCAAAGTTTTAACCTGTATTTATTCCTCCTCAGTTGTTCTTGAGTCAAACGTAACCTTTAGTTTATGTGTCTCTTTTCTTTCTCTGATGTACCTATGAAGAGCAATGTTATCCTCTGTTTTCCTTTTCCCACTCTACATATGCTGTTTCTTGTAGACTTTTCTCTGTAAGACCAGTGATCAATCCAGCAGCCCCTTCTGCCACCTGTTCTTGTTTGTGCTTGCCTTTCTCAAATACGGATGAGAAGGACCATTCCCAAATGAGGTCTGATCAATGCCTTGTATAAGTGACGTGACGGTTCCCTTTCTCTGCTGGAAATCCCTTGCCTGAAGTATTTTGTGGTTGTATTTGCCTTTTTCATGCTGCATCACACTGGAGACCCACAGTCATCCTTCAGTTGGATAATACATCCAGGCCTTTCTCCTCCTTTGCAATTTCCTACTGATGATCTCCCACTTTACAGCAGAGATTCTGTTTATTACCCCCCAGGTACCTGCCCTGGCACTCTGTGCTTTTGAGCTTCTTCCCATTTCTACTACACCAGCCCTCAAGGTCATCCAACATTTCCCATGTAATGTTCCAGCCTTTCTTACTACAGATGCCATCCAACTTTCTGTCATCAGCAGGTTTCATGGCACACAGTTACTTGAAGTGAAGGGTGTGAGAGTCAAGTCCCAAACACAGCGCTGGGTGAATGTCTCAAAGTGAACAGCACTACCTCTGTTCTCTCCTCTTTGCTCTGCTGGTGGTTTTTGATTGGCTGGGTTTTCGCCCCCCAGGCAGATCATCACTTCAATGCATTTGGTCGCCTGTTCATCTGTACTGTGGTGTGACACAGCTAATTGTGTGAAATACAGGAAAGCTTCTGTAGTCCCAGAAGAGGAGTTAAGTGCTCGAGTAACAAGTATTTATGTTCCAGTGCTGTTGGTGCTGGTGACGTAGACATTAGCTCTCTCAGTGCCCACGAACACATTTGAAGTCTGCTAGTACCTTGTGCAAGCACACACTGGTCTATGTGTGGATGTCTGTAAATGGTTTGTTGTGGGTGTCAATACTTTATGGGCAATGGGTCTGCCAAATTAGCTTGGTATTTCTTATGAAATTAAAAGCTTAGTTTGCAGGGAGGGCTATTTTGCTCTAATATGCTCAGATATCTGTGTGGTATTTAACTTACTACAGCACAACATTTGGATTAAAACATTAGGACTATACTAAATAAATACAGAAAACAGATTTGTTAGAAACTAGCTAAGTCTTGCTTACTAATTGGAAATTATCACTATATATGGGAGAATTTCTAGTGCAGCTGCAGAGATTACTTATTGGCTTAATGTTATTTGTTTGTTAGTGATTTGAAAGATGGCTGATAAAAGTTTTCAGGTGAAACAAGACTCAGTGTAACCATGCATAATGGGATGGGTCACTCGTAGCTTACAAAGCCATCTTTTGGTATGCTCACACAATACGCGTTTCAGTGGAGACAGATCCAAGGTCATGCAGCTGGGAACAGTGTCAGTCATCCTCGCAGAACAAGAGGCTGCCTCTCAGAAAGCGGCGGCTCTGAAAAGGTCTCTGGGATCATGGTTGTTGGGATCATCCAGCTGCACAGGAGCTCTCAGCGCAATGCAGCTGCTAAATGTGCCAGTTTTGATGGGAATATGCAATAAGAACATGAGGTGGGGTTGTCTCTGGGCAAAGCAAAACTATTTCTGGATATCCTAATCTGGTGTCCATACTAAAGAAGGACATGGAAAGATAGGGAGAGGTTTGCGGAAGAGCTACAAGAATGACTCAAGGTCTGAAAAACAAGAAAAAACACAGCATGCCACAAAAAGCCAATTGCTTGAAACTGTTTAACAGAAGGTTTATAATTGACTTGAACACAGCGTGGAAGTACCTATGTAAGGAGAAGCCATCTGATAGTAGCATGCTCTTTACTGCACAGACAAAATAACAACAAGATCCAGCAGTTGGAATCTGAACCTAATTGAAATGAGAGGCACCAGATTATTTTATCTGCCAAATTCTGTCAAGTTGTGTGATATTTTTAATAAAGATGTGTTGGGAGGAGATCAAACTTATTTTCTGCTCCAGCACAGACACGTGGATCAGGGTTACAAAAGGTTACTCTCTTTCGTGTTTTGCACAAGTCACTGGCAACTGCTATACCTTTCCTGATTTCCTTTAACAGCAAATGTGCATAAAGTAACATCTACAAACTGAAGCAGGCAGTTAATAAAATACACAACTAGAGCCATCTAATCTAAAAGTCAGTAGCTATCAATGTTTTCAGACTGTGTCATATGTTACATAGTCATTCCTTCTACAGCCAATGAATCTTTTAATTTGAACCTTTTTATTGCTGGACGGTGTTTGAATACAAAGCTGTTACTTCTGTCATGATGTAAATGCTGTTAACATATCATCCTATTAGTCCTCAAAACGCACAGAGCCAGAGTGCCTCTTAGTTTTGCCTAACTTTTTCTCTGGTCCAATAATGGGAAAAATGCTTTGGGAGGCTTATGACATCTGACCTCATTGCAGATGAGAGGAGACTGTGTTAAATGGGTAGCTACATAATCAGCCTGAAATCTAACTTTGCCTTCCATTTGCAATGCTGCTTGTCTTGGCTATGTTTGTAGCATTTGCTCTGTTTTAATTTCTAGACAAATAGCTCTTCTGTAATGCTTAAACATTCCTGGCTTACCATATCTATGGGTTTTGTCCCTTATTGCCCATAATTCTTTCGACAGGAAATCTCAATGGAGCACTGAGAAGTGTGCTGTGATAATCTAACAAGACCAGACGTGGTTTTCTTGGACCTGTGGTTCTTTATTATATTTACTGAACAGTCTTCTTGCGAGCCCATGCGGCAGTGCCTAATAATGACTTGCTTTAGTGTCCTTGATCTAATTTTTCAACCAAATTGCTGAAATAAGTAATTTGTGAAATGCAGGCTGTTATCTGGTATTAGCTCATCTGGAACCCAGGACATGTAAACTGTGATTTAGAGTGTGTTTTACACTGTTATTCAGCACATTTTGTAACAAGTTAAAAATTATTAATAATTCATGTTCTCTGTTTAGTCCAAATGTATCTGTATCAACAGCAATCACAGGTCTCTTATGGCTTCCGAAGTTCTTTTGCATAATTTTCTGTATTTATTGTAGAATTTGTACTTGGATTCCTTATCTTGAATGACAGCATTTGCCTGCCCACGGTAGGATTTTTTTCAGTCCCTTATCTTGTACAGACCCAGATGGATACTGCAAATTATGTTTAGTATTTTTGACCTCATTTTGCATGATGGAACTATTGCATAGCCTCCTGTACCCAGAGTTGCACTATCTGTTGTAGTTTCAGTATTGTCAGTATGATTTTATCCTGCAAGGTGGGAGACTTCCTCTTTTCGAGAGTTTCTCCATTTGGAATTGTGCTCTTAAGTTTCACTAAGACTACTTCATTTTATGCATCTTATTTGAGACTGTTTAATTCTATTACAGAAGTGGGTCATACTCAAATTATACATGACTCCAAGCACATCCTCTTGCAGCTTCTTGCATTTTCTCTACATGCAAATTATTGAAAATCTGTGCACCAGTAAAAGCTCCATACTGGCTATGTAGTCCAGTAATTTTGTAATTTTATAATAATTTCTGGAACGTTAAAAGCATCTGTAACACTACTTCCAAATGTCAGAGTCCTGTGGCAAACTTGATGCTTTCATGCTCATCAAGTACATAGTAGTAGTCTAAAAGGAATTCAGTTAAACATCTACCTGAGGAAATGCATGTGAGGCATTTTATACATTGTGTTTTGCCCAACGTGTATTTACTTGCACCAAAACCATGCCTTTGCTTTTTGAAGTCTAGATGTGACCTCCTCATCAGTTCCCAGGAAGTAGTGCTCACATTTTCTGGCTTTGCGAAGTTCTTTTGAATGTATTCAAATCCTTGACTTGTTTGGTTTTATTATCATGGCAAACCTGTCAATTCATTTGGTTGGTGTCTTTACTCCCTCAACAGCAGCTAATATTATTGCCAGGTCAAGGTCAAATTTCCGTTTTACTTCCAGCTCCAAAGGGTTGGGATGCTGTGAATTGGCACACTGGCAACTCTACCAAGGCAAATTCCTGGATCTTCAGGAATCCCCACTTCATCGAGTTGTTTAAGAATATTCCCTGTATCATGATAAGCAGACAAGCAATACATCCATCTAACTATTGGGTTTTCCACCTGCTCTCCAGCGCATTCATTCATGGGATTTTCTTGTTTCAGCATCTCAGATTCTGCTAGGTTGACTGTGCTTCCACAACCATGCAAACCCAACCTCACCACACCTTCTGTTATTGTACTTGCTTTACAAAATCAGCTTTTAAAGACAATCTCTGATAGCCTGTTGCTTTCCCAGTTCAGCTCTGATTTAATTTCAGTCAGCTGTTTTGAAACATCATGTGGCTTGCTTTATTTCTAGTTTTGAGGGCAGGGCTGACTTTGTACCTAAATGCTCCAAAACCCTTTTCCTCCTCATCAGTGCCTGCCACGGGGAAATTGGGGTGGCAGGGCTGCCCCATGGCAGCACGCTCCAGTGTTTTGGGAGGGG